GGGGGGGGGGGGGGGGGGGGGGGGGGGGGGGGGGGGGGGGGGGGGGGGGGGGGGGGGGGGGGGGGGGGGGGGGGGGGGGGGGGGGGGGGGGGCGTACTCTAAGGTTTTCCATGCCTTAGCGGTTAGACCATTGACGGTGGAGGGTGGGTTGGGGGTGTTTGTTAAATGTTTTTGTGCTTCTCACCCGCCGTACCGATAGCCGGTCATCCTTACATATAGTCTTCAACTCTGCTCAGGCTGACGGAGAGCGGGAGACGCCCGCCCTCGTTACGTAAGCCAAAACCTCTGTGCACCGATCAAGCTTCTGCTCTGCGGTCCAGCCGATGTCCAGCGAAGTCCTGTCACCTTGGCATCACGAACATAGTCCGCGGAACCGCTGCCCGAGACGCGAATCGGCTGCTCCATTGCGATGAGCGTGAACACCTGTCCCGTACAAAAACATGGCAATCCACGTTGCGGGACGCGGAACAAGCTTTAACGGAGGTGGCACGCGACAGAGGCATACTGGTACACACTTCAGCCATGAGGCGAATACTCAGGAGTGAGTGTGCACAGGTTCAACGACCAAGAGATGACCTGGGACAATGGCACATACACCCACGCTTTGCCTCAGAAGGCCTTCGGTAGCTACGAGGTTGACGTTATATCCACACACCCCTACTTTCCCATTCTCGGCTTCATGTTTTACTTAAGACTTGATGTTCAACACATCATCGAAAATGAAACTGACTACATCCATGGCGAGTGCATCATCCAATGGACCCCCCCGTGCCTACCTGCATGAGGTGGTTTTGGATCACGTCTCGGATGATCCCATATCTGGAGCAGCGACAAGTACGAAACGAGAGAACGAGAGCAGGCGCTGGGTTTGGCCACGACTGGAAACCAAGGCGGGGGGCAGATGGGACAAAGACATGAACAGGCCTGCATTACCTTCCTCCCCAAAGGTGTAGACTGGTCCCAGAATCGATGGGACGATATAACACTCACTTCGTCCATCACCTGCGCCAACAAGTTAAATCGCGAACAATTGGATTCTCTGCGACAACACGGCTTGTCAGACCACATCAAATCAGCCCAGGGAGGAGAGGAGAGCACGCGCTGACCTGTCGAAGTATCCCCCTCGGCCTTCCGTCCCAAAGTTCTCCTTGAAGGTGAACGTCACGCTCTGTACGGAGTCGCGGTTCCAGATGGGCTCGAACATGGTGTTGGAGAACCGCAGGACGAGCAGGTTCTGGGTCATCTCTTTCCCGAGGTAGTGGTCAATGCGGTACACGTACGACTCGTCGAAGTGTGCGCCGAGGTCGTCGGTCAGCTGTGGATGGATTTATAAGCGCAGCGGCAGGAGGGTTGTTAGCTACCGCTCGCTTCGGGCACACACACACGTGCGCGTCGACGAGTTGGCACGCGAGCAAGATCTGCCTTGTAACGCCTCTTGCTGTTTCGAGAGCGATCAGACACGGAGGGCTTACAAAATCTCAACACCGAACCGGCACGGGCTGGGTTGCCTCTCGAAAAAAGACTCGTTGCACGCCAGCCGAACAGCGCAAC